GCTGGCTCATGTCCAGCTTCTCGTCCACCTGGACCTCCAAGTGCTTCTCCACAGGGCTGCCCTCAAGGAGTTCCTCTCCCAGTCTATACAAGTACCTGGGATTGCCCCAGCCCAAGTGCAAGACCTTGCACTCGGCCTTGTTGAACCTCATTAGGTTCTCATGGGCCCACTTCTCCAGCCTGTCCAGGTCCCTCTGGATGGCATCCCTTCCCTCTATGGTATCAGGAATGCACGTCTGAGAAAAACAGCTCTCCTTTCTCATTTATCAGAGGGGGAACACTCTCCTTGGCCTGTCTCCTCCTGCCTATGTACCTGTAGAACCCTTTCTTGTTATTTTTCACATCCTTCGCCAAGCTCAACTCCATCTGTGCCTTGGCTTTCCTGATCCTATCTCTACACATCCAGACAACACCCCTATATTCTTCCCAGGCTACACAACCCTGCTTCCAGTTCCTGTACATTTCCCTCTTTTCCTTCAGTTTGAGCTGCAGGTCCTTGCTCAGCCATGCCAGTCACCCGCCTCCAACTGCTGAAGAAATAAAGAACTTGACAAAATTCAGTTCTATCCATTAAGGGTGGTGGAGAAAACAGAGAGTGAGCAAGCAGCAGCAGAGTTAAGACATTGAGAAGTAGGGCTGATAGAGAAGTGAATAGTTCCTTCCCACTTTCAATACAGCAAACGCACCTTGAGGGCTGGTGTTTACATACTGGCAACAGGTTGATTTTGAGAGCATTGATGTGATTATATTGCACATACCTAAAGTAACATTTGCTTTAACTGACTCCTCTTCTGATGTAACGTTGCTTGGTCTGTTTGTTTCAAGACTAGAAGGCAGACTGGTTTTTTGTATATTCAAACTGGATTTTCCCACTTCTAGAAATGTAGAAGTGTCTTGACTTTTTGTTGAAAAATTTGAAGACTAGTGGCAAAAAAAAAAAAGATTAATTTTCTCAGAAATATGAAGGGAAAAAGTTAAAGGTAATATTTAATTTTTAGATCACATTTCTGCTACAAACAGCAAAACCACTTCCAGTTCTAAGTATATTAAAAATTATTATTGTATTTCTTTTAAACAGAAGACAGTATAGGGATTACAGATTTAAACCTTACAGAAAGCCAAAGTATTTCCTCCATCAGAGTTTTTCTGTAGTACCTTGCTAAGTTCTTTACTGTCTTGTGAAATTCTGTATTGAGAACAGGATGATGAAGTATCAGAGTCAAGCCTTGGTTCCAAAGGCTGAAAGAGCTGGTGATGGAAGTTTGGAAAATGTCCCTCTGTTTCAGGAAAATCAAGTTCAGCTGCTAGAACTATAAGAAAGAGGTTATTTTAAAAACAAACAAACAAAATCCCAAACCAACAGACATATCACACCTTGCTTCTATATGCAGTAAATAATGTATATAGAATTCTGCAGGTATACAAATGCTAGCTTGTAAAAAAAAAAAGTCCTCACAACATCCAATTCTTTCACTCTGATACAATGCAGGTAGAAAAAGCAACAAGAAAGTGCTATGCTGATGCAATTTTTTTTCTTTTTAAATGAAAAGGGAAAGTCCATAAGCTCTTGGTTCAGTAGTTGTGAGACTGCATCAGAGGTAGTGACAGGATAAGTGGTAACAGTTTTAAGCTGAAAGAGGGTAGATTTAGATTAGATATCAGGAAGAAAGTTTTTATTGTGAGGGTGGTGAGGCACTGGCACAGGTTGCCCAGAGAAGCTGTGGACGCCCCATCCCTGGAGGTGTTCAAGGCCAGGCTAGATGAGGCTTTGAGCAACCTGGTCTAGTGGAGGGTTTCCCTGCCCATGGTAGGGGCGTTGGAGCTCAATGATCTTCCAACCTAAACCAATTCTATGATTCTAGAGTGGGCTTCCCAGTGCAAAAAAAACCACAGTGACACTAGAGCAAGTCCAATGGAGAGCCACAGGGATGATTAAAGGAAGGATGAAGCACATATGTTCAAAGAGAAACCAAAAAACTGAGATTGTTCAATCTTAAGAAAAGGCTTAAGGGTGTGGGGGAAGGGGCACAGAATCTCTACTTTCTACTACATCCTTAGAGATAGTATAGAGAAGATGCAGCCTTCTTGGACACGCTCAGTAAAAGAGATAATGGAAGTAAGATAGAACACAGGAAATTCTAGCTGGATAGAACTGGACTATGATCAGACAGATACCTGATCAGACTTTTTTTTTTTTGTACTACACTACTCTGTGTGGACATGTACATAAAACAAAGCATGAAGAATGCTAAAGTTATCAGAGTTCTCACATGTAGAATCCTTATTCACTTTTCAAATGTGAGCTGAATATAAATAATACAAACTAACACAACATTGAGTATACTTCTCATTCTGTATGATGAGAGCGCAGCACAAGAAAGGTTTAACATGGCAAATACCTTGGAAACATGTATTGTCCTCTGAGTCAGAGTTCAAGTCTCCAGTACATTTCCCCATGATCTGCTGGATCTGACTTCCTTTATAAACGTACATCTTTCCTTCAGGCAACTGAGTTTCAGATGCTCCAGACAAATTTTCCTGCTTCGGCTGCAAGGTAAAAGGCCGCGAGGAGATCCAAGGATGACTTGCTGTTTCTCTCAAAATTAGATCTTCTGTACTATCAGAAGACAATCCTGAAATAGCAAGCTAGATGTTCACAGTTTTGCATATAAACCACTTACATGAAGTCATCTGAAAAGACAGTGCTTAATATCCTGAAATATTCATGAAGAGCTCTGGTGTTTTGTTCCTCTAATTGTCTCCTGTCAACACTCCCACAAATCTTACCACAAATTTCCACAAATTCAAGTTCATAATATCTAATTAGGTAGCAGTCAGTACAGCTTAGCAGTTTTAGAGTATGTAGACTTAGCAAATACTGAAACAACAAAATGAGAAAAGAATTAATACTGTTATGTTAGCTAGCATATTTTTACCTCCTATTGCATAAAACATGTCAATCCTTCAGTGTCAACTTGATTATCTTTATGACGTTTTATTCATGCTTAAATAGAAATTGCCCAATACCTACACAAGAAATCTAAGGGAATCAAGGAAACCAATCTTGCGTTCCTAGTTAGCACACAAACCCCTTTTTGTCTATACCCTTACAGAACAATTACACAAAGCTTTCAGAAAAGGTCATTATTAAGCACTCAGGGCACAGTGAAGACACAGCTAGACTTGAAAAATGTATTCATGTAGCTGAGTAACCAAAACCTTTAGTATTTTTCTTCCACAACTAAAAAACAATAGAAAAGCTACAAATTATCTTAGAATTTGCTTTAGCTTTCTTATGCAAACAAGACATAAATTTGTCATGAGTTATGAAGTTTATGACTCAAAATAACATTTCTCAGTTTAGAACACCAGGGTTAAAATACAGTCCAACATTTCAATGGCTCAAAAACTGTCATCTTCAAAAATTGATTTATAAACATGGAATAACTCATATACACCTATGGTTGTATAAGATCAGATATGTGGTTGTATAAGATCAGATATGTTGTCAGATTAATACAATATTAAGCCTTAAAGTAAAGAAATCCACAGGTCACTATCTAAAAAATTTCAACCTTACTTCCCATGTTCACAAGTGATAATGTCAGTATATAGACAAGCAACTATATATTTATGATAAAAGAATTATTTTTAATTTTATTAAAAGCTAACTGAAGATCAAGAGGCAGACTACAAGTGAAAAAGGATATGAACACATTTGCCAGAAAACAATGAAAAGTCAATATGGCATTCCAACAACACTTACCAGTGTCAACAGAACCTATATCCAACATTTCACTAGTCAAAAAGCTTCCAGTGGAAATTGTTGAAGAAAAGTCACAGGGTATTCCTTGCATGGAAGCCTCTGAACCTAAGCTTGTGGATACTACTTCAGAAAATACTTCCTAGGATGAAATAACATATGTATGACCATGTATTCAAATATCCATAATTAAAGCTTTAAAACCACACATTTTATTCTGAGCTCAGTTCAAGTGTAGAAGCCTTCATGTTTTGCACAGTCAGGCAAATACAGATTCATCCCTGCTCAGTACCAAACATTCACACCCAACATCCCAGACACATCACTCCCCAACAGCCCCCTCCCCTCAACACAAACACGTGCTCACACACACAAACACACACACACACAGAGTATTATAAAGCCTCTCAGAACTGCATACAAATCATGACACCTGGAAGATTATTTTATCTTCTGGTGGTCAGATTTGGCTATTTCTCATCACAGACCCACTTCAGTAGAATTGTAGATCTCAGAGGAATGCATATGCAATACATAAAGAACTCATGAATTTTACAAGTACTCGCAAGACTGAGTCTTTTGCATACTTAAAAAATTAATTCTATAAAATTAAATGAAAAATAAACAAATGATCGTAAAATATTATCCTCCTTATTTTTGAGGTAAGCTCTACAAAGTTACAAAACAGAGAATGAGAGTTCTTGTGCTTTCAAACTTTGACGAATTACACGTGAACATTTCTTCCCAAACTCTGAATTAAAAAGTGCACTACGAAAATAAAAGACAAAAATCTAAGAAATCCTTCCGCTACATTTTTCGTTATGCTATGTTATACAAACATATTTAACATACATGTATAAAACATGTAGATTTAAAAGTAATTTTCTATACACATATACACATTATACCTAGCAAATTTTTTGTCTCCTGACAAAATGATGGGATCTTTGGGTGAGGGAAAAGCACGGGATTTCACTGATGTTGATTTTGGCAAGGCTTTAAACACTGTCTCTCACAACATTCTTCCATTCCAGTTTGGATGCTACAACCTGGATGGATGGATGATGAGACAGGTAAAAAACTGTCTGGATAATCAGGCTCAGAGGACACCTGGAGGTGGGGAACAAGGGGAATGTGACAGGGCTCCATCCTAGGACCTGTCCTCTTTAATATCTTTGGCAATGACCCAGAGGAGACAAAACCATACTCTTATCAAGTTTGCAGTTAACACCAAGTTGGGAGGACCACCTGATACACTAAACGGCAGGGCTGACATCTAGAAGGACCTTGTGAGGCTGGCCCTACAGGAATGTTATGAAACTAAGCAAGAACAAATGCAAAGTCCAGCACCTGGGAATGAAGAACCCCACACACCAGTCCAACCTGGGGTCTGCCTGGCAAGCAGCCCTGTGAAAAATGACCCAGAAGTCTCGGCAGACAGAGAGCTGAGCGTAAGCCTGCAGTGCACCCTGGCAGCAAAGAGGGGCCACAGAATCCTGCACGGTATGAACAGGAATATAGCCAGTAGATCCATCGCAGTCACCACCTCTCTTTACTTGGTGCTTGGTAAACTGCTGCATCCAGAATACCACACCCAGTCTTAGCCCCCCCAATATGAGACAGAAAGATTTAATCACCAAATAAAGAGTAGGTTAAAAGGTTATTTTGATATGACTAACCACATTATCAAGTTTGAATGACGGCCCAGAATGTGTTGCAACTCCCTCTCCAATTTCAGCAGCAAGAACTGATGAATCTTGAGCCACTTGAGAATCCTGGGACTGGGCTGAACATAAACAGAACAGAAGCAATAAGGAATAGAAAGCAACTTTCGAGTCTGTATTTAGCAATTTGGTTTTTTGGAACACCAGATGGCAGTAGTACTCTACTGCTGCTGTCCTCACTATTAGGGCACCGATTTTGCCCATCCTTACCTCTTTCTTCTCACCTACAACACACGTTCTGCTCCCCTGTACCACCAATTTAATTGGCAATCAGTGGTTCTCCTTGACCAGCCTCCCTAAAATGTCCAACTAGCACAACTGTTCCCTGCAGAGCATGCAGAAAGAGCTAGAAATTCATGCTTTGGCTTTGCAGAATGAAATGTACCTTTGCTAGTGCTACTACAATCATTTAATTGGGGTGGAAGGAATCTTTTGCCCTCTACCGTTAGAGTGATTACAAAGAAAAGCAGACATTCTGCGTAGATCAGAGAAATCAGAAACACTGAATTACTTAACTATAGCATTACTACTACCACGGAACTGAATCACCTTTGCCTTAATGCTCTTACACATAAAAATAAGTAAGATCAGTATCTGTGCAAAAGAAGTACCACAGCAGCACCAGAAAAAACGCAATTTCTGTATTCAGTGCTGACAAGATCCTTCAAAGTTTAACAAGTCTAAGACTGTAAATTAATTGACAACAACCAATTGTAAAATAAGTATTCTTATTTCCAGTAATCATTTTCAAGAAAGAAGTACTAAATATCAAAATGAAATTAAACAGTAGAAGTGAAGTAAGTATGCAGTAGATATTAGGAAGAAATATTTTACGCTGAGGGTTGTGAAACACTGGAACAGGTTGCCCAGGGAGGTGGTAGATGCCCCGTCCCTGAAAACATTCAAGGTCAGGTTGGATGGGGCTCTGAGCAACCTGATCTAGTGGAAGATGTCCCTGCTTACTGCAGGGGGTTGGACTAGATGACCTCCATGTTCCCTTCCAACTCCAACTATTCTATGATTCTGTTTTCTCCCAGTACTACAAAGGCTGCTAGTGACAGAGACATTTCAAATGCCCAGCACTTCTAAGGCTCTATACTTAGGCAGATCTCATAACATTTTTGTGAATCCTAACATGAATTTGTACCTTGTATTAACTGAAACCCAATTTCTTCCTGGAAGCTGGAGTCCAGTTGTTCTACTTTTCCTACATACAAAAAAAGGGAGGAGAGTTTTCCTTTGTGAGGCAACACCAGTGAAGTGTCTATATGATGTGATACTTATGTATCTCAATCAACATGAAACATTTTGAAACTCATTTCAGGGAGGAGGAAAAGAACAAAAATTCTAAGGTTTCCTATAGCCACTATAATCCAGAACTTTTCTAGAACGTACAAGACATGAAATGAAATACATCTGAAAGATATTTATTTGGATTAAAAGAGAAGTTAACCTCTTCCTAATTCATTATTATGTTATCATATTAAATGCCAAGTGATCTCAAAATAAAGGGTAAAGAAAATCTCAAATGGCTTCTTTCCCCCCCCACACTCAAAAATTCTCCAGAAACTTCTAGCAGGCTTGATCCTGATAATTTATGACATTGTGATCAGTAGCCAAACAGAGCTGTTGACAACGGAGTTTGCAAATAACATGGAGAGTGGAAGAATGGTAAAGAGATGCAGTAGCACTGCCATGGTAAAAATTACTTTGACCTCCTGCAAAGCTGGGTCTGTTAACACTGTGTAGATAAAATCACAAATCTAAGAGCACAGAACACTGGCTTCTGATCCCTTTTCTACAAATATGTGAGAAAGGCCTTCAGCTTCACAGGAAAGATAACTTTCAAGGTTTGAGTAGAACAAAGTGGCAACAAACTCCTTGGCTGGATGTGGCAGTATGTGACTGAGTCTAGATACACTGCAGAAGTCTGCTGCTCTTCTTCTTTGGAGCAGAATATAGGAGACAGAAGATCCTGAAAATGAGCAAAGCTTTGAAGAAAATTCCTTGAATCAGCTTGAAAACTGAAATCATATAATCTCTTGGTATTTAAATATCTCCACAGGAAAAAAAAATGCACAGTACAAAAGATTTCTAAACTCAAAGAAAACAATAACAAGAAGCAGTGGCACAAATGGCTGTCAGCCATTCAGAAGCTGGAAACAGACTATTTATTTTATAACTTGGTAAAAAATTAAATGCTGCAACAAGCTACCAAGAATTCTCTATTTCCTGATACCTTTACATCAAGATTAGACATTTTACTGAAAGAAATGATTTTATTTTCTAAAGGATATCATCATGACAGGTAGTAATTTAGGATACACAAGATGAGATTCAAACATTTAGTACTCTCTTGCATATAAATTCTGTGAAGAGCTATACTACAAATATTTCATTATTATACTGTAATAACCTGCATTGTTCTTGTGATATTAATACAAGGGATGAACAATAGCAATCTCACGCTATAAACCAAATTATTTCATTAAAAATACAACATGCTTATATCTCGTGACTTCATTACATTTATATCCTTAAAAAAGCCCTGTATTTGGTGACTCATAAAAGAGGGGGGTTTTATGCTTCTCTCCTCCCTCCAAAATAATAGTGCAACGTTCCGGTTCCGCACAGCTTCCTGACATTGACACAGGACTTCCACATTTTAACCTCCCAGCCACCACACTGTGACAAATAATTTCTATTTAAAAATTGAGGCTGTAATATCCAGAATGCTTTTTTTTCCCCCAACAGAAATTGCAGTAAAATAGCAGCAATTATTTTAGGGTGCAATTTGAAAGACAAAAAACTGAATGACAAACCACTCAGTGAAAACAATATAAAAACAAATCCAACCATGCAGACAAACAAAAAAAAAGTTGCATGCCACGATAGTTTGGCTAAATTGGTGATGAATAAAGACAATGTGTCACAATAATGAGTTATGGACAAATATTTGGAATTACTAAAAATAAACTGAAATCTTAGGGTAGCTTGGATCACACAAAAAATAATCATGCTTGAAATAACATCTCTGTACAGGGCAGCAATACATGAAGATAATCACATCTGGAACACTGCTCAAGGGGACCATAAAACACGAAGACAAATAAAGAGGGGCAAGCCTGTTGATGTGTAAAGAAGGAGAACTGTGAAAGAGACGCTTATATCAAATTAGTCACTATTTTCAGGCCGACTTCTTAAGGAAATTAGGTTTATGCCATCCAACTGCCTGTCTCATCTGTAGGGTTATTCTGCATTTCCATATTAACAATTTGCATTCTATTAGCTGGATATTAGAAAAAATTTCTTCACTGAAAGAGTGATCAGGCATTGGAACAGGCTGCCCAGGGAAGTGGTGGAGTCACCATCCCTGGAGGTGTTCAAGAAACATGTAGATGTGGTGCTCAGGGACATGGTTTAGTGAGTTAGGGGGTGTTGGGTTGGACTCGACGATCCTTGAAGTCTTTTCCAACCTTAATGATTCTATGATTCTATGATTTTAACCAAATTGGATTGGGAAGAAGAAATATTGAGTGTCCGAAGTTCCTAATTCATCTTGTCATACATCAGTGGCATAGTAAGAGAGAGTAATCTGAAGCTTAGCCTCACTGGTGGCACTTATGGCAACACCACTTAACAGTTACGTGTCCTCTTGGGCTGCCAACCAGCAGATCAGTTTGTGTAGAACTTGTAACCACTCACTGAACACAGGAATTCATCTGCCCCTAACCAGAACCAGTCTTTAAGACTCATTTGATGTTCAGACATGTCTGCCTCTAAATTTGAGAGAGTTATAGATTTTTTTTCTTCTTGTAATAACTAGAATAAAGAAATACAGCTAATTATAGAAATTTTTTTAAAAACTTGTCCTGTTATCCAAGGACAAGTCTCATATCAAAGGAAACTCACTTTTGTTGATAAAGTATCCAAGTAGATTTACCAAGTTTATCTTTCTAACAACCTACGTAACTTTTACCTTTTTATCTTTAATGCTTTATTTTGAAAAGCACGAGGAGCAGTGATTAGTAGGATTTTCACACTTCTAGTGGTTTTGTAATCATGAAAGCAGTACAACTCATAAGGTGTAAAGCTTTACATTATTTGATTGAAGGTAGAAACTACCAAGAACATACCTGCAAAGAATAAGATCAAAGATCACATGTACAAAGCACTCATTTGCTCTCAACTTTAGAGACAATTACATCTTGAAATTCTTGGTTAGAATCAAGCAGCAAAAAGAAATTTCAAAAACCCCAACAATTAATTAATTAATTAGTTAAATCAAAGCCACTATCATAAGTAACAACTTAAAATGCACCTTAAATTTCCCCTTCAGAAACTTTATATTTCACACAGACTGTAGATTTTCTTGCTGAAGATACGGCACTAGTTACCGAAAGTACGACAGAGTGTTTCACAGCCTTCAGATTACAAAGATACTGTTGACAGTTTTGGTTGTCGAACTGCTCAAGGGGACAATCCTCTTAAATACATAATCACAGAAAGCTTTGCTTTGTTTTGTTTTTTAATAAATATAGATGTTCACATGTAACCCCCTTACATAAACCATTGCACTGTTCATATATAATACTCACTAACGTAAAAAGACACTACACTAAGATACTTCATAATAATTTGGTAATGGTTGATCTAGCAATGCTTCTATGACTTACTCTGAAAAATACAAGCCTTTTCTTCAAATACTGTTAAAAAAGAAATTATGTAGTTATAATTTAGGTTTACATACAGGTATATTTCAAAAAGAGTATTCTGAGAATTAAAGGAAGCAGTTGAAAGAAAATGAGCTTATATACACTTACTCAAAATAACTTCAATTCCTATTAAATCCTGATTGAATTGAAAAGGATATCTTAACATAAATTAAATGAAAAGTTATTTTAAGATTTGGGGGAGCGGTGAAATTCCTTGCAAAACCAGGAGGTGCATACTACATATATGTACGTCTTTATGAGCAATACAACTAAGGTAGGAAAGTTGCTGAAAACTTCTTTGCAGCTCTAGTAATATATTTATTTCAGATGGATACTGAAAACTGTCCTGAGCCATGAGATGCTGTCATCTTGTAATGGGCTTCAAATCGCTTTAGTCAATGTTTTGCAAACTTTGTGTAACAGTTCCCAGCAAGTCAGGCATAGCATTTCTCAATTATAGCAACAATAAACTGCATTTCAACCTGCAGGAAATTTGAAGAAAAGCAAGTGCACTGCAACTGAAAGAACGGGAGCCTTAAGTTAATGTTATTCCAAGACTGGAGAGACAAGCTAAATTTGTATAAGCGGGGAAAAAAAACAGTAGGAATTAAAAACCTTGACATCCACTTGCTAGTCCAATCTCTTGAAAAACTTCTTAGTAACCTGCTTTCTTTGTTTACTTAAGACTCATCTCCTTTTTCCTTTTATAAAGCCAGTCATGCTACCTGTAACATGCTTAGTAGGTTTCAACAACCCTGTAACAAAATTATTTTGAACATTCACACACCACTTATAACAAAACTTTTTTTTTTTCTAATAACCAGAACAACTTGGTTTCATTTCTGGAATCAGACTAACTTTGGACACAGTCTATCCTCAAAGGTGTGATCTCTAATAAAAGCTCTTCCCATATGAATAGAAAAGATCAGAATTAAAGTAATCCTTACACTATTGCACTACTTTTATTTCTGTCATAACTAACAACCGATTCTTTCAAAGTTGTTTCTTTGAGCTAAGTGTAACACTCAGACTTCTATTTTTTGTCTTAACTGTATTTTTAAGCAATTTCTTACATAGGCTGATCTTTCAGTGGATATCTACCTTAGCATGTTAACACTCCAGACTTATCTTTAAGTATTAATTTCCTTTGTGTCAATACAAAGGAGTCACTAGGTACTGAAGCAGGCACAACACTGATCTGCTCAAAACAGGTTCCCACCTGGTAAAGCTGCAAACCTGAACACCCCACAGTCAGGCAGAAGATACCTCTCTCCAGAGAAAGACACGCCTGTGGCTCTCTACAGCAGTTTGCTCCCTATGCATGCAATCACGCGCTACAAAACAAGTTTCTTTACAGACAGTTCTACAAGGTACAGATACAAAGCACATGCTTTGGATGAGAAACTGTTCATTAGCAATGAAGTTTACTGCAGTGTGTTACTAGAATGGTCATGGACCACAAAAAAAAAAAGATTAAACTCAGTCATTCTGAGACGTAATTATTGAAACACTCTTTTTTACACTTAAAATGAAACAGTATTTAAATAGCACTGCATGTTATTTAACAAGTCAGGTCATACGCTACAAATAAATAGCAGTAAAATTAGCAGTGCTGAATGGGATTCACATAATTCCTTGAAGGAAAAGGCTTTCCTCACCTGAATCATATGAATTTTCAGCAGTCATCATCAGCACCTCTTGTAATAATCTACTTGACTGTTTACTTTGCCTTGGACTTCCATTAAAGGTTTGTTCCTCGCAGTTTGTTATGCTCAAAGGTGACTTGCCTTCTTCATGAAGAGCATGACTGTAACGTTTCCTGTACGCCAACTCCCCAGTGGTTGAAATGGGAGAAAATTCCCCACCAGCAGAATCAGTTTTATCTGAATTTAAAACATTTGTAATCAGTTTAGATATAGAAATGCATTGGTCTGCATTTAATGAAAAACATTAAGATGCACATTCTATTCTACAGAAATAACCTGATGAATTCATACAGTGCTCCATTTTAATAAAGTTAGCCATATCAGGTCAGTAAAAACCTTTGCATTACACAGTTTATGGATTATACAGATTGAAAAGATTATACAGGACACAGACTTCACAAAAAATAATTCCTAACTCAATTAAAATATTTCTTCCAAAAAATTTCTGACAAATTTTTCCACATGGCAAATCCACAAAAACATTTTCTAAATACAGAGGCAATATAACTTCTCTGCTCTGGCTTAACAACTTCTTTTCTCCCCAACCTGCCCCACACAACAGCCCTTTTTGGCCCCCCCCAGTCCAATCAAATGCTCAAGCCAAACTTTTTAGTATCTACCATGACCAATGGTTAGATGATACAGGAATAAATGACCTGTGGATCATAATGGGATTACAGAGCAAATGAAGATTCCCTACTCTAGAATTCCACTGAATAATATTTCATAAAACTTTTTTGGTACATATTTTTGTTTCTAATCTTTTAAAATTAAGATGTGTAACACTGAGTGCTTTTAAGAACACATATATTCTTCAATCAACCGATATCAGTTACTATTTCATAATTAATCATCTCAAAGTCTCTTTAGAAAAGATTCATTTCCTCCAATCTGTATTTCTCTGAAACAGCAGCTTTTATTATATATTTTATATCAATATCTATAAATTTATATATATATACACACACACACGCATTTTACCTGCAAAAGAAATGTTGCAGCTCTTCGGTGTGTCTACCTCTGGTATAACACTAAGTTCATGTTGTTCCAAATTGAGCCCTAACTTGACTTTTGTCACAGGTGGTTTGGAAGATCTCAGTTTCTGTTCTCTACATAGAACTTTCTCAGACACTTCTGTAAAACAAAGTTTTGCACGTTGTAACAACATATCTCTCTCTCTCTCTCTCAAAGTAGCTTGGAGAGATGGAAGAGAACTCCATCTCAGCTGCAAAATTACAAAAATTATAATGAAAAATTCTATGCAGCCTTACCAGTTTGCTCAGCTGCACCAAGGCACTGTGAAATCATTTCACTTCTGTGAAATTTACTCCTGCCACAAGTCTCTTGCTGGCAGTTTTCTGAGACTTGGAAAAAGTCAGTCCTATGAATCCAGTCATGCTTTTGTGCCTCTGTCATTTCTTCCTTTCTGCAGGTATGTCTCACCTTAGAATAGGGAGGAAACAACTGTATATAAGATTATATTTATACTCATTTGTCAAACCTGCATTTTCTTGTGTTTGTATTTCATGCAGGACAATATTGAGCACTTTGAGAAAGTAGTTAAAAGTATGCAAGATATCGGACAGATTTGCTTAGCTTACAAAAACATTTGGACATACAGGTATTTTATTTAGCTTTGCAAACCTAATGTGGTAAAACATAATTATTTAAATTTTCAAGGACTTTGTTAGATTAGATCACAATACTCAGCATTTTTAACAGGAACAATTCCTGAAAAGTCTGCTTTTAGTTTTTCAGCTCCTGAATTCAGGAATTTTAGCTGTTGGACTCTAGGCAACAGATATTTTTCTAAGATGGCATCTGTTTAAAAAAAAAAAGAAAAAAAGAAAAAAAAGAAGGGCAAAAGGAGCTTCTTTAGAAACTCTAAAATAAACCTGGATTTTTCTTCTGTTACCCAAAAATCAAGCAAAATTACAAGTCAAAGTGCAGCTCCCAAACCAACTTCCTAATGTGTACACATAAAAAGACAAACTTTAAAAAATAGTCTATTCAAATTGCTTACAATATCCTTTGAGGTACTGCTTCAGTATTTTTAATACAATCTGTTTTACACATACACATTTCTAGAGCTGAAGAAAACTAACCTGCAGATATTTCAGACAACATAACTATTTCAATAGGCATTATGTTGAGAGACCAAGCACAGAAGTTCGTACTATTTCTGTTAGACTGAACAAAACGGCACTCTTGGGGCTTACAGAAAAGAACTACTGATTACAAATCACAAGTCCTAATTAAAATTTTCATTATGGTAAATCACCTAAAACTATCAACACTCCATGGGATACTTTGCTAATTGGTAGCATTCAATCTCAAGTTTGATCACGTACTAGATGAATCATCATGCAAAGCATTTATAAAGCTTACCTGCCTGCTCAGAAATTCTTTCAAAGCCTCTTGCTGTCTCTGCATCTGTTCCTTCAATTTATCTTGCCTCTGTAAAAGTAGTTGTTCTTGTATCTTCTGTCTAGAAAGAAGAGCTTCTCTTTGTGCATCTATCTGCTCTTGCAATTCTTTCAAATAGTTTTGCTGAGCTTGGATGCTTTCTGATGAGGCCAACACTCTGTCCCTTAAATTCAGTATACCAGAATAATTTAACGAAGATGCATCTCTTGCTTTTGACATCAAGAATTCCTCACCACTCTGGGCTTTAGATTCTTCATGAGATAAAGTTATGGGTTCAGAAAGATTGAGGGGTTGTTCAAGGCTTGTTTTGATGGTGTTCTCTGCAGATCCGTGCTGGTGTGCCACAGAACCAACTGAGGCTTCCTGAACTGTATGAGATCCCTTTGTTGCTGGCATGAAGGGTGTCTTAAGCGGGGGCTCTTCTCCAGCTTCGGTCTCTGTTTGATGGCTAGACATCTTCTGAGATGACTCTTTGAAGTGCACTGTTTCTGAAGGCTCAGAGGAATCTTCTGTAGGCAAAAGAAATCTAACGTGTTGTACACGTGCTTCCAGTTGAGTTCCTACTGCAGCGACACCTTTCCTGACTAATCCTGATGGTAACTGGAACTTAGATGGTTCTCTGACGTGACTATTGGAGGTTGCCAATGTTCCCCCTTGTTCCTGTGAAGCACAGCCAGACGGCAAGCAAAACTCTCCATTCTTCAATTTTGATGTTTCTAAAACCTGCCCATGTCTGCCAGGACAAACATTATGCGTTTGCTCTTCACGTTTCTGTGAAGGTGTTTTTTCCAACATACGCAATGTTCCTGAAAACACAGGTAGCGACGGCGCATACTCTTGTGCATGAACTTGGTCAGATGACTGGTACTGTGCTGGTTGCGCTACTTGCCTCTGTAGATGCGGTTCTGAGACAGGCTTTAAATTAATTGATTTTGTTTCCACAGAGCTTGGAGGTTTTGCAGAAGCAGACAAGTGTCTTTGCTTCAATTTATTCTGATACTCCTGTAGACGCTTTCTAGCTTCTTCAACAGTCTGTTTGTGCAGCCTGAACAAAAACAAAACATGAATCTTTCCAGAATGGTAGAAAGATAAACACCAATTTCAATAATCAAAGCAATTCAAATTACTTTGAAACAGGCAACTCAGACTTCCATTTCATAAAGGAATTTACCTGTTTTGCTGTAGAAGGCGTTGTTGATAATTACGAATCATCTCTAAATGGCTGCCTTCTCTGGGACTCCTGGTTTCTGATACAGTAGTATTTCCAGTCTAATAAAAATCAAAATAAAATAATTTTAAGTGCACATATACAAATAACTCACAGAAATCTATTCAAGCAACAACCTTAAGCTCTGTGTTCTCTCTCCTAAGTTTACAGAAGCTACTTTGTACCACCCTTTGAAGTCTGTGAGATTTCAGCCTGAGGCAATGAAATTAAAGCAGTTTCTGGAAGAGACAGCCTACAGCTACAGTCTCTCCTGGCAAGTTGAGCACACCCTGTCAAAGTCAACAGTGTTTACAAGAGCTTAGCTCAAAGAGGTAAATATACCTGGTACCAAACTCAGTGAGCAATGATCCAACAGAGCTGCATTTTCAAGGCAATCAGATTCTCAGAAAAGCACAGGTTGTGCAAATGATTCAAGATTTTAAAAAATTATTACTTTCCTTCAACATCCTCAATAAATTCCATTCCTTTAAGTAGCTGTTTTAGATATAGACAGATAAAAACATAGAGGTGGGGGTTTTGGGTCTTTTTTCCTTCCCTAAGATTTTTTCTTTTCTTCTTGAAAAAGAGTATGTCTACGTGCATAATCATTATGACTCTAAGCAGATTTTACTAACAGGTATTTTAAACAGACATGCTGTCCCTGGGACTATGCAAAGACAATCCAATATTCAAAGTCCAGTGATATCATGTGAAATCATGCATGACAAATCTGGTGGCCTTCTACAATGGGGTGACAATGTTGGTGGATAAGGGAAGAGCAAATGACATCATCTACCTGGACTTGTGCAAAGCCTTTGACACTGTCCCACATGACATAATTGTCCCGAAATTGGAGAGACATGGATTTGACAGAAGGACCACACACTGGATAAGGAATTGGCTGGATGGCTCAATGTCCAAGTGGAGACTGGTGATGAGTGGTGTTCCGCAGAGGTCAGTACTGGGACCAGTGCTGTTTAGCATCTTTGTCGGAGACATGGACATGGATTGAGTGCACCCTCAGAAAGTTTGCCGATGACACCAAACTGTGTGGTGCAGTTGACACACTGGAGGGAAGGGATGCCATCCAGAGGGACCTTG